TTTTAGAAAAATAAATACAAGATTTTTCTATGCTAACACTTTGACCAGACATCTGAGAGAACTTCTCTAGGCAGTGGGTGATGCAACTGAGTTGATCGAGGGATGCTTCAGCAAAGAGAATAATGTCATCAGCAAACATGATATGAGACAAAAGAGGGCCATATCTACCTACTTTGATTGGCAACCAGTTCCCCAAATCCACTTCATCCATTATTAAATGGGATAATTTTTCCATACAAAGGACAAATAGATAAGGGGATAAATGATCCCCTTGTCTAATTCCCCTCTGAGACTGAAAACTGGGAGTTCTGGCCCCATTCCACAAAACTTCCAATACAGGGCTGGACACACACCCCATGATGGCTTCAATCAACTCACCAGGAAATTTCAACTCGACAAGCACAGATCTGATGAACTTCCAACTAAGCTTATCATAAGCTTTCTCCAAATCAATCTTAATGGACAAGAAATTCTTCTTCCCCTTCATCTTGTGCATGGAATGGACAAGCTCTTGAACAATAATAATATTGTCCTGTATATGTCTTTGAGGGACAAAGCTGGCCTGGTTAGGGGAAATGAGCTCCATGAGCAGAGGCTTGATTCTGTTGGCAATTATCTTGCTAAACCCTTTGTATACAGTATTGCAGAGGGCTATAGGTCTGAACTGCTTCATCAAGCAAGGCCTATCAACTTTTGGAATCAACACAATAAGAGTATGATTCAAATTGCCAATCTGATCAGGATTTTTAAAGTAGAACTGCATACTCTTGAAAATCTGATCTTTGAGGGTCTCCCAATTCCTTTGATAAAACAATGCTGGAAAACCATCAACTCCAGGGGCTCTCAAAGAAGGCATTTGAAAAAAGGCTCTTTTCACCTCCTCAAGAGAAATATCAAAAGACAAGTTGCTAATGTGATTCTCCTTGATAACCGGCCAAGAGCTTTTGATGGGAAACCACATATGCTCAACAGAATTGTCTTTGAAAAGATTCTGAAAAAAACTTCTAGCTAAGTTGATGAGTTTCTCCTCACCTGACACCCAATGCCCCAAATCATCTTGCAACTTCAAAATTTTGTTTCTTTTTCTCCGGATAACAGTACTAGTATGATAGAACCTAGTATTCCTGTCACCATCTTTAATCCAGTCACCCCTTGATTTCTGAAACCATATCAGCTCTTCTTGGTCAAGAATAACAGACAGTTCCTTATTTAATTCAGCCTCCAAAGCTTCCAAATGATAGCTATTCGAGGAACACAACTGATCCTGAATGCCCTCCAACCTAGCAATAATCCTATTTTTCCTGTGATGAGTGAAACCGAAGATGTTCCTGTTCCAATCTTTTAACACAGGGACAAAGGAGTGTAAGCTGTCCAGCAGCCCAATAGTGGGATCCAAATTAGCCTTTAGAAGATCAGAAAACCTAGCATCATTCTGCCAAGTAGCCTGGAATCTAAAAGGCCTCTCTCTCCAACAGGAATCTTCCTTAGCCATTCTAACCAGAACTGGGCTGTGATCAGAAAATAATCTTGGAAGAACCAGAATATCAGCCTCCTCAAAAGACCTTCTCCACTCTTCATTACTGACAGCTCTATCCAGTCTCTTAAAAACTCTATCAAGGTGGAGAAATTTAGGACCTCTCCAAGTGAACCTCTTTCCCCCACCACCCAAGTCCATCATCCCGCAAGCATTGAGAACATTAGCAAACCGGTTGCATCTGCTCAAATCCACAGGACCTCCCCCTCTTTTTTCAGAGGCCATAGCTATTTCGTTAAAGTCACCAGTTATAAGCCAAGGATCCAACATCAATCTGCCTATATTCTTCAATTCCTCCCACAACACTTGTCGAGTATCTTCTTGAGGACTAGCATATACAGCAGTCCAAAAAAATCCCTGCATCTCAGGAAACTCAACCCAGCAATGCAGAAATTGATCATGCTTATTAATTAGAGAAATTTTCACATCCCTATTATTCCACAAAATCCAAATGCCTCCAGCAAAGCCATTAGCATCTACAATTAAATGGTTAGAAAACCCTAAACTGCGAATGATTTTAAGAGCTTTACTTCCACTAACTCTAGGCTCTAAAACAGCAGCAACTCCTACACCATGTTTCCTACAGAATCTCCTAAAGGTGCTTTTAAATTGTTTTTTGGCAGCACCTCTACAATTCCAAGAAAAAATATTCATAATGAATGCTGAGTTGGTTGCAAGATTCGAAAGTTCTTGCTACTTAATTCAAGGCTAACAAACTCAGAATCCCTCAAAACAGAGATCTGTTCATCACAGATAATATCACTATCAACCCTCACAGAATTGGCTAATGAATTACCTAAAGAAGGTACACATTCCATACCTGACATGGCTTCAGAAATCTTAGAAACTTCCCTCATGACTTGATCAGGAGGTTCATGAATAGCCACTGCCTCAGTACTAGTCATATCAACACTTGACAGATTCTCATCAACAGGAACCATGTTGCCCTCCACTATGCATTTTTCCGCCACCATCATCCTATCCCCCCAAGTACTCCCCTTCTGGTGCTCCACCTTAGACTGTGAAGTATTCCCACAGCCATTCACATCCAGAGAGCTACTACCCATGGCAGAAGATGAATGAAAATGCTGGATATGCCCTTTGCCTTTAGCAGTATGAATCCTGGACGAAAGCTTCTTGTTAGTTAACATAGGGGTCGTAGTTCCTGACCCCTTCTTGCTTAGATCCGAAGCCACAGCTGAGAAGTTCATTCCTACAACAGGGGAATGAGAGTTGTTTTTCAAGTTCTCATTCTCTTTGTTCACTGCTGCAGCAGCCTTGCCTGATCCTGGAAACCCTCCAGAATTACCAACCTGACCCCTTTTCTCAACTTTGGAATTGTTCTCTACTCCTTTCCCATTCTTATTATTCGAAATGTCCTCCCCAAAGCTCCTGCCAAATGTCGCATCCTTCTTCTGGCCTTGCTGCTGATTCTTTTTCCTCCGCTGGACCACCATCCAAGGACCTACACCTTGGTTATCTGGCATTACCACCGGATGGTCCTGGTTCAGTTCAGTTTTAACTGGGGCAGTAGCCTTGACAAAATCAGGGCAGGGATCCGAGTTGTGCCCATACCTCCCGCATTTAAGACATATCAGAAAAAGACCCTCATACTCCACTCTCTTCCTGCACCCATCCAGAATATAACCACCTCTCAACGGTTTAGATAGATCAATTTCGATACAAACTCTCGCAAATCGAGCACGATCTCCCGTGGAAGTGGTTCTATCTACTTTGAGAACTTTCCCAATCACAGTACCCAGATGGTTAAGGAAGGGAAACTCACAATATTCTTGGGGAATCCCTGGGAGACGGACCCAGGCTGCCACCTTATGGATGTTGGCCTTGTCAGGGTCGAAGCACGGTTCCCATTTTCTTGTGGCAAGGTAGTGCCCCAGAATTACCCAAGGCCCACCCGTGATAGCAAGATTGAGATCCTCTAAATTACTGAATCTCACCGAGAAAAATTCGTTCCCAAGATCGGCAGTGATACTCCCAGCCTTGGCCCAAAGAGCCTCTAACCTCTTCTTCATGAACCCCACACCAATTTTCTTTCCCAGCAATTTAACTATCAGAGCATTCTTCCAACGTTGCCGCATCCTGGCTCTCGCATCTCTATTGCTCCTTATTTCTACCGATCCATCCTCCCTGAGGATAGTTTGAAAACCCCATTCCGAAATTTCCCCCAAACTTGGATCAAGCGGTTCCAAATCAGGGGATTCTTCCTCGATTAACCGAGGAAGGGAGTCACCAGCAACACCGTTCTCCTCTCCTATGACTTCAGAATGACCTTAGCTTCGGCTTAACCGAACCAGATTGGAACTCCTCAACAGCTTCACGCATGCGAGCCTCCGTTGGGATATCCTCCCCGTTCTTGTTTCTCTTAGTACTCTTTCTCTCCAATGACAGAACATCTCCGTTATTGTTGAACGCTTCCTCCATTAATTTCAGAAATCTTTGATTACGAAACCCTAGCAGAAGAAAAATTTATCGCGCGCGTGAAAGGACGCGCCTAACCCATCCTTCGTTGTTTTTTGTTTTTTATCCTTTTGGGGTGTTTGTATTGCTTTTTGGGCTAGTGTAGTTTTCCACGAATTAGCTCAAGCTTCCATCGGAATTGGGATACCATGGATCTGGTAGGATCTTCTACTCCTGAGTCAAACAAGGTTCAAGTCAATGCTAAAGTTTCGTTTTTTAGGGTGTGATTTAGCTGCTGAATCAGTTGGAAATGGTGGGGCGGTTTTAGCTAGAAAAGGGTTAGGCTATAGAATATGATGCGGAAGGTTAAGATCGATTAGAGGGAGCAAGAAACGTTACCAGCCTAACCCTCCCAGAAAACAAAATCCAACATTCAGCCAAAAAAAAAATATCCGGACGAACAGTTTTCTGGATAGTAAAAAGTTTTTTTTGGCTGAATATTAATTTTAAATTCTAGAAGTTTTGAATGAAAATGATAGCTAATGTTAGTTCTGTAAAATCACCTCATATTCTCTGGTAATGTTTCACAGTCAAACAAATATAAAATCAGTAAATTTGAGATAATATTCTTAATAATATTTTGACCTATCAAACAATTTTTTAATAATATTATCGGAAAAGTTTTTACCAGCGTATTCGTGAGAATCATAAAAATTCTCATATATCAAACACCCCTTAATTCATTCTGACTGAACTCACTGAACTATAACGCTTGTAATGCCTAGAAAATTTTGTGAAAGGGGGTGATTAGATAAAAAAAAAAAATAGAACAATTATCATAATGCTCACAACTAAAGACTTCTATAAAGTTGAAGTGTGCAACTAGTATCTATATATTACCAAAACCAACATAAATAATGTACACCGCATTTGAATAAGGCGAACGTGCACGCTAGCCCCTCCCTCCCTCAAAGGAGAGGACCATTGCTTGTAATAAAATTTGTCTGTCAACAGAACAGAGTCAGAAACAAAAAAACAGAACACTCACTGATCTTTGACGCAGAAACTGGAGCGTGTTTTGATTTGTTGATTGAGAAGAGAGGTCAAGTTGGATATTCTATTATACACAATCTGGGTAACAAGTTGCAGAACAACTGGGTTGTCCAAGTCACTAATTTCCTGGCACTGCATCCCATAGAACAAGCTCAAACCCACAATAGAGAAACAAAGAAGCACCCATAAATCCTTTGAGCTCATGTTGTTTGTATGTTAGAGATGGAAACTCACAAATGAAATGGGTTCAAATATTTAATGTGATGAAATGAAGGAGTAAAAGTTGGTTGAGGTTTTGAGCCATTTGGAAGAAGGAGAAATGTGAACTTAGAAGAAGAAGAAGAAGAAAGAAGCATTTTATTGATGGCCGCACACGGAACATAGCCCATAGTTGAAATGGAGTGGGACCCACGTGAGTAAAGGACCAGACCGGACCACGTCCATCATTGAACTACGAAGCGAAAGGAAAGAGACAAATGTCGCATTGGCCAGCTTCTGAACATGTCTGATTTCTTTGTCTTGAATTAAAAAAAAAAAAACGGATGGGGTTTTAAATGAACACTTCCTTGAAGAAGAGTTTTCATATGACAGCTTTAAACAGTGCACAAGACAAAATAAACGAGAGATAAACGCAACTTAACCTTTTTTTTTTTTAAATGATAAACAATATTGATTTCTTGTTATTTACTCAATAGGGTAAACAATGTCTGTTTTTTTATTTTATTTTTTGGTAAAACAATGTCTGATATTTTAATTGCAATAGCCATTTTATATTTAAAATGATAGCTCGTCATATATTTATTCATTTTACTTACATAAATTAATTTCGTTTTAGAGTTCGAACTTGTGTCTTTAATTAAGGAAAAAATGACTTTCATGTTATATAAGATAGTTTCTCTGAGGCTTATCATATAATATGAGAAGTATAAAATCCTTTTTATCTTTAAAAAATAAAACTCAAGTCACATCTTTTGATGAATGTATAGGATGTATGTTTTTTTTTATATAACATGAGAAAAACATATCCTTTAATTAAATGCATAAGCAATTTTGTCTACGGTAGTCACGTAATATTCCATAAGTTTTACATTACTAAAATTTATTGTAACAAAAAAATAATTACTTAAATTTAATCAAACTAGTCTAACTTTAATTATGAAAAAAATTTAATCATGAATAACTTGCAAGTGATTTTAATTATTGATTTGACTTAAATTATGCATACTAATTTGGTGGTGTAGAACATTTGGGATACCAATAATATTGATAAATAAGGCTAATTTGCCAAAAGTGAGGTGGGATGAGTTGAAAGTTGGTACTGAACTGACCATAGAACATTTGAAAGTTTCATGAAAGATCAATAGGACAATTGAATTTCGAATTCAAATGTGGAGAAATTTCTCCAGCTTCATGACATGGCGAAATTCAAATGGTTCTAGAACCCATTTGAATTTGAATTCCATGAAGACCTGTTAGTCAATTTTAATTGCTAATTCAGATTTGGAGAAATGTTCTCCAACTTCATGATAAGGGTAAATCTAAGATAAGACCAATCAAGTGGTTTTTAAATTGGGAACAAATCCTAATTTAAATCAATCAATCATGCACCACTTTGTAGCATTATATATGCACCCTTTGCTTCATGAAATTGACAAGTCTTGGTTGCCCCATCAATCCATCCACTCTTCCATTACTGCACCCCTCACTTAACCTCTAGACAAAATACAAGTCTTGAGGAATTTAACCGAACACTGGATAGCTATCAACCTTTCATTCACCTAACAAGCTACCAAGGAAGGAGGGCACAAGGAGAAAACTTTGTCACACGCTATTGAAGAACAATAGTGTGGATCACCATTAGAGGGCGCCATAGTTTTGGAAGTCTTTAAGTTATAAGGTATTTCTTTTAACCCTAATGTGTTTTTAACGAGTAAATCCTAAGGCAACTCATGAGGACAGTAGAGAGTTTATATGTTTCACAACGAAGAACAAAGATAAAAGTTTTGTTTTTCACCCTCATGAGCATGTACCTTATAAGATAGGGTACACAAATTTTAACTTTCACTAGCACCCTTTCACCTTGATCATTTGGGCCTTCAAGTCATTCTTTCATCTGTGTTCAGGTTCGAGTTTCGGAGCATTGACTTTCATTTCAACATATATGATGCAATCCTACTATAGCAAAACATATCATAACAACATAGCTAGAACACCAGTCAGTGAAACTTAATCGAAATTAAACCTTATTTTTATATTCAACATTTTCCAAGTCTTATTTTTTTTGGGTTTTTGAATACCTTTTCAATCGATTCGTGGATGCCTGACTTATTATTTCAAAATAAAAATTGCAAAAGCAATAATAGACTAAGCATAGGCTCAAACATCCTTGGCAGGATCTTTGTAACTCCTCATCTGCAGCCGGTTAGTTAACATGCAAATAGTACAATAGCACGTCATAAAACTATGAGTTAAGCGAAAACTTAAGCTAAGTATTGACTTTAATTAATGTAAAAAGGCGGATAAACTTTTTCTTTTTATCCTAATACTACCTTCTTACGTTAACTTAATTTTTAATGTTAATTTAATGTCTTTAACATATTCATTGTCCTTTCCCCGTATTGCCATGCGTGATTCCTAATTCCAATTATTGTAATTTGTACAGTCTCATTCCTACACATACTTCTTGATTAGTCTACCTATGTCGATTCTATCTATATCTGTTTTTAACGGATAAAATCTATCCAAATATGATCGTAAGGACCATTATGAACATAAACCAACGGACAATATAACGGTTGTAATATGGACAAATCAAAATTTGTGTAATATAGAAAAAAATTCAGACAAACTATATATGTATAATTCAGACTTAGAATTCATCAATGAATTCTCATAGAATCTGGCTCAGTGCCAGTTCTTATCCAAATCAACTTGTTAACTATAAACTTACAGCATATAAATACAGATATCTAAAATACCTCATGTACTGAACTATATGGCTCTATGCCAATACACATATTCATACTGAAGTTCATAAACAACATATACGAATATACAAAAAGGCTACATATACCTCTCAAAATAGATGATAGTTATCAGCATGCATGATCACTACTCATGCCTCAAAATAAATATATACAACATCCATATATAAATAAACATCCACTACAGCTCCATCACTAGCCACTCTGCACAGGCCTCTGCCCTGAGATGACTGATCAACAACTGCTGGAGTACCTGAAATATAAGTCTCCAAAAGGGGTGAGATTTTAACTATCTCAGTAAACTTAGGGTTTATAGAGAAGTCTCCACCCATGACTTACCTTCCTGCTTGAAAGGTTAGATACATAGTATAACATACATCATACAAGTATAATTAAAATTAGACCACCTGTCTGTACAGATATCTCTAAGGACCTATGTCCCTCTAGAGCAATCAGAGCCAACCGTTAATAAGAGTACTCATGGCTATATATGATCTGTTCATTGGCCAAGAACTACTATATATACTCAAATATATATATATATATATATATATATATATATATATATATATATATTCATTTCATATCATGATATCACCTATACGAATGCAACTACACTAAGTATCCAACATTATAAACACTAACACGCAAATATACCACGATGATCATTAAATCCTAGAAAAACAAACAAAGAAGAAGAATCCTCCTAAACCAATAGCTTATCTATTGTAGCTTCTATAGCAAGCTTACTTGAAACACAAGTAACTAGGTCAAATCCTCATAATTCTGATCAGGAATCATTCTATCTCCTGATTCACACCTGTTATCCAAATATAAACCAGATTTGACTTTCACATATCCAAATGTGTCACAAGAATTATATCTTGCCCATTTAACAATTTCATTTTTAACAATTCATGCTTATACCATAAGTCAGACCTAAACCTAATAATTGCCATTCTTTCACACAATGTTAAACTTATATCCAAACACCATCAATTAGAGATTTACCTCTTTAAACTCACTTGAAACTTACTTCAATTAAGTTTCTAGGCTTAATTATTAATTAACCTCAATTCCAACCATTTTAAACCCTATATGTCTGAACCCTAATAGGTTCTTAACATTCCTTTCCCAAGCTTATACTGCATCATTCTATGTTCCATTTAATATTTCATCATGCATCACAAGCATACACTTTACTTTGACTATGAAATCATTAGTCAAATAACTCTTTAAGTGTCAAATTACCTTCATATCTTCAAACACTTAATTTATCCGTTCCATTACATTTTATTATGCATAAAAGACACTTAACATCATTCAATATAAATTAAACACCATTGATACCCTATTAAACCTAAAGTGGTTGAATGTATATGTTAGGGTTTTTACAACATTTTCACATTCAAACTTTAATCCAATGGCTTTATTCACTTAGTTAATCGTTGAATCTATGCTTCACATACTCATTTTATTAAACAACACACAAACCCTAGTTTTTACTATTCATGGCCGAATTGGCCTTTCAAAGAAACAACAACTTGCATGCATTGTATCCTTCTATTCATTATCATGATAATTTCATGATTTAACTATCAAAATTCTCTTAACATTCACTTAATTCTCACAGTCTCACTTTAACCTTTATTTAACACATCTTGAGAATGAGGGTTGTTATATTCACACTACCTTTTAAACATTTTCACCTCAAAATCATAAACATACCTGGAAGATAACTTAAGATATCGCCGAAGAATCTCATCATCTCGCTCCCAAGTAGCCTCCTTAAGAGTTCTACCTTCCCATTGTACTTTCATCATAGGAATAACTTTACTTTTTAGTATCTTTTCAGCTCTATCAAGTATTTTCGTAGGTCCAATTGGAGTTTTCAAATTTTTCTTTATCTCAATATCATCGGACTGAATCATATGGGAGTGATTTGTAACATATCTCCTAAATTGACTCACATGAAACACATCATGTAGATTTAATAATTGTTGAGGTAAAGCAAGTTGATAAGAAACATGTCCAACTTCTTAATAATCTAGTAAGGTGCAATGAACTTAAGACTTAACTTCCTCACTCTGAGAGCTCATCCAACTCCTGTAACAGGTGACAACCTAACAAACACATGATCTCCTTTAGAGAATTCTAAAGATCGATGTTTACTATCATAATGACTCTTTATTGAGGATCTAGCAAGTGTACTAGTCATACAAGTAATAAAATGATGAGTAAAGATCGTTCCCACATAGATTTGTATTCAAACACCAATTAACCATAGAAAACTAATTTGAATCAAAC